CATTCAGACAAATCAAGCCGCTCGGAAGACCTTCATCCTCAGCATTCGACTCCTCCCCTTCCTGGCCGCACCGTCTTCGAGTCGTGGGATGCGTTCGACACGTACATCCGCACATACCAAGCGGAAACGTACCAGGTAAGGTGTATTTGGTCTGCTTAGTATATGACCTTCTCTAACAAGCCTATTAATATCCAGGTGTTCAGACTTCGAACAAACAAGAAGGTTGGCGAAAGAAACGCCGTTATCCAGCGTACAGGATCCAAATCTACACCTATTCCGGAGACATGGGTATGGTACTACAAGACGCTGGTGTGCACCCACGCCGGAAAGTTCAAGCCGCGTGGGAAGGGCAAGAGAGCACGTCAAGAGTCTCGCTCGATCGAGTGTCCTACACAGGTAAGCCTTCCCCTGGCGGGTGCTGGCAGATACTGGCGGGTCCTAGTGGGTGCTGGCGGGTGCTGGCGGATAATACTAGCACACTAACGTTGCAATGTCTTTTAGATTAATGCCTGCGTTCGAGAAGTGGATAAATCAGCTCACAAGTTTGTTGTATGTATTACGAAGATGAGAACGACCCATAATCACTTGGTTGATTCGACAACGTATCAAAACTACCCAATTAACCGAACAGCAGTTGGGGAGAGTGTTCTGCAAACCGTGGGGGTTCTACAAAAGGCCGGTGCAGGAAAGAAGAGCATTCACCAGTTTATTACTGAGAATTCCGACTGTTCACCGACGATAAGGGATGTACACAATCTGGTACGAAAGCTGAAGAATCAATCAACCCAATCAACAACTAGTGCCCAACGTTTGAAAGCGTGGATGATGAATTTCTGTGGAGAAAACGGCAACGTGGGCAGAATTTTTGTAGAGGCACAACAAAGCAAGGTAAACGATGATCGATCAGATATTTATTCATACCACCGCTTATAATCCTTTTGCTGTTTCAGAAAATTGCTACGTGCATAACAATGCAGACAAAACACATGCGGTATCTGTACGATCGTTTTCCGGAGGTCTTACTTATCGATGCTACACACGGAACAAACGTACCGAAGTACAAGGTATTTTCCTTAATGATTCATGACACCTTTGGTAAAGGGCAGTACGTGCAGCACGCCTTAGTCCAGAATGAGCGGAAGGAAACCCTGGAAGCAGCCATCGAAGAATTCAAACTGAACAATCCTGCTACGAAGCGGCTGCAGTGTGTCATCATTGACAAGGACTTTACCGAAATGAGTGTGCTGGAGGCGGCTTTCCCTGGGGTCAAGATTCTACTCTGCCAGTTTCACGTAATTAAGTACCTATCCGAGGAGATCGCCAAGGCCGACGAGTACGGGTTTAATCCGTGGCAGAAAGAACAGTTGAGAGGTATCGTCTCCCTGTTGGTGTATGCAAAAAGCGAGAGAGAGTACAACAAGCACCGACGTTACATGCACCAAGTCATCACTGTGGGAGGCGTCGAGCGAGATAGTGCTCCAGTCGGGCACACTACCGACTCAGTCGGGCACGCTGCAGACGCAGTCGGGCATCGTGTAGAGCCTGTCGGTTGCGGTTCCGGTCTGGTTGAGCGTGAAGATGAAGAGGAGGAGGATCACCTAGAAGCGAGACTGCATCCCTTCGAATCGTATTTCAAACGAAATTGGGATAATTGCAGGGGCAAATGGTGCTCCTACAAACGCCAAAACGCTGTTACGCTGGGAAACAACACGAACAATTGTCTAGAGGCCTCGTGGAAGCAAATTAAAGACATCGTGAACTCTTTCATGCAGCTGGACGAATGTATAGCGTCCTTGATGTACTACCAATCGCTCGCAGAAAAAGATTTCGTAAATCGAATGTTCAAGATTGGTGTTATCCACCACGCCTCATACGACAAAGAATTGCACTACGTATCAAATCTAGTCAGCGAGCACGCTTGCAATTTGATTTTTGAACAGTACGCATATGCAGTTGGGCGTGCTACATACAGTTTCTACGAAGGAATTCCTGGTGTGATGTTTATCAAGAACACGACTCACGACGACGATGCGTTGGACGAGCCCAATCAAGAGTACAATGTGGACACGGGAAATTGGCGATGCTCGTGTATGTTCATGAGTACACGGTTGCTTCCTTGTAGACACGTGTTATACTTGCGCAAGGCATTGAAGAAGGAGACTATAATCCCGGCTCAGCTACATCCGAGATGGTTGCTGTCAACATTACGAGCATCATTTACAGTTCCCACCATACCCGATAAGGCTTTTCGCATACGACGGATTGTTAGACCCGAACCAAATGCTTGGGATGCTAATCGCAAGTTCCGCGAAGCTAACCAAGTCGCAAACGCTATCACGAGTACAATGAGCAGTCTGGGAATGCGTGAGTACCGAGATGCTCTTCGAGTGTTGAATACTGTCGCTGAACTTTTCAAGCACCGACATTTTCATGAAATTGATCGCCTAGTTTCAGACACTCAGTGTGTCCAGACTCAGCTACAATCTGATGCTCCCCCGCCCGAGGCTGAAGAGGTCCCGCCGGAGCCCGACCAACCACCGCCTGAGTCTGACGAGTTCCCGATTGCGTTCAAACCACCGGAGCTCGAGGAAGTCTCAACTACGTTGCCAGAGCCGATGACTGTGACAGATGAACCACCGGGGAATCCAACACTTCCCTCAACTGAGTTAAATCAGCCCCCGCCTGTGCCCCATCTATGCCCGACTACGGACGAGCTGCAACCGACTGAGTCTGGAGCATCGAGCGCAGTTGTACAGCTGTTAAATACTCACTACACTACAGAGCCAGTCGAAACTACGGATGATTTTGAAATTGCAAGTCCAGTCCGACCGCGTGGTAGGCCAAAGCAGAAAGCATCCGCAAAGAAAGCCAAGAAGAATCGCGAAATCTCCAAAGTTCACCACGATTCAAACATGCATCACATGAAGCTGGATTTATCGGTGCTCTCCGCCCTATTACATGAAGACCACACATTCAATTCTGCAGAGACGACACTCCGACAATACCGCTGTTTTATTTTGGAGAAAAAACAAACCAAGCAGCCAATCGCCACCAAAAAAGCAAACTATCACGGAAGAAGACGGTACTAAGAGACGAAGATATATCGCGAATTCTTCCTAAAGATATGCTGCGTAAGTGCAGCAAGAAGTTATCGGCCTTCCAAGGGAAGAACTACGGTCTCCAAGAGGTGGATATACTTCTTGAAGTGCCAAGTATTGGTGTGTTTACAGCTGGAGCACTGACTACAATGAGGAACTATCACAGAGCGATGGATGCTATTGCTCAGATTGACAAAGCTACTGTCTGGGCTACGACTATTGATTTTGGGACTGAGGTCGACCCGTGGTTCATCGTGGAAGAAGATAAACGACTACTGGAAGGCCTAAAAAACACGCGTCTACAGTCAAATGAGGTAAGACACCTACCATATTTTTATGATAGCTCTCAATAATAACTTAATTGTTTTAGTTTGACCTATTAGATCTTGTCGGACGGGGAAATCTTAGCAATTCCACCTTAAGCCTAGTTTTGGAAAAACTATACTCAAACAACCCGCGAGTGGTGGTGATAACCCCAAATTTGTTTGGGTGGGTTGTGGGAAGGAAGATTTCAATGGATGCTGAGACTGTCGAGAGCATTCTGTCGACAATTACTGGGGAGTGTGTACTCATACCGATCAGCTGCAATTCGAACCATTGGTGTGCTATTATGATCGACATCGCAAAACGTATCGTGTATATCTACGATCCAATGAAATCAAGCTACGTGGCCAGCGTTCGAGTGGTAGCAGAACGACTTACACCTATGCTAGCGACAACCACGGGAGAAAGGTTTCGAGTGCAAGCGTACGAATCCGACATGGGGATTCAATTGGACAACTACAACTGCGGTTTTTTTTTGCTTGCATTTGAACAGTTCACAGGTGCGCCACCACTCGAATGGATGAACAAGAAGCTGCTGATGTATCTGCGCTATAGATATCTTTGCTTGTGTCTTCACTAAAAATAATACATCTACCTTCTTTCAGACTTGTAGAAGCTCAGTGAATGAACAAGAAGCTGCTGATGTATCTGCGCTATAGATATCTTTGCTTGTGTCTTCACTGAATATAATACATTTACCTTCTTACAGACATATAGAAGTTCGCATGCTCCGCTTGCTTGACTTAGCTAAGATACCTTTATCCGGATATACGCTGTCGCGAAAAAAGGGTGGGCAAACTGGCTTTTGACTAGTCGGGTACCCGTCGGTGCAGTCGGGCGTTGGTCGGGTACTTTTGTCCCGTCTCACGGCTTCCAGGCGGTTGCAGCAACACGTGCCAATTAATTTAGCCAATACGCAGATATACGCGGAAGTCTCTTCGGTCAACATTCACGCCGATTAAATTACTTCAGCTAGTCGTAATTTACAGTGATGTTACCCTTGGTCGACACAAGCAACATTCACCTGGCTCACATCACTTGTACCAAGAATATCAGATATACATCACCAAAATCACTTGATCAAAGTAAAGGTGCTGTTTCTGATACAAGCTGAAATGACCCATTATGCAGGCTCGAAAGAGAAAACCCACTATTATGGGTACCACAATCCAACGTAGATCTTATATAACACGTGTATCAATTGGTGGAATAATTTTAATTAAGTTTCAATCAAATAACGTTAGTTTGGGCTCTGAGTATAAAAGATTAGCATAGCTTTGGGTCAATATGACTCTCCTAAAACCCTGGACAAAATCCAGAGAGTTATTTTTAGACTGGACACTCTTAATTTTGCTGCCATTTTTTTTTCTGTACACCGTCATAGGTATTACCATAGGCGAGGTTGCTGCTGGCCTAGGGTGTAATTAGCCAACCAAACCGCAAAAAATAAAAATGTCAAAACCTCATCTCACACATGAAAATCAAGATGTTCGACACGATTTCGAAGAAAGTTAAATTTATACGCAGCAAGAAGCGGCTCGTGGCATCCTATTGCACTCAAAAGTCTACATCTTTTTCTTAAATGGTCTTGATCTGAGCCGTGGGCGCCTTGTATCCAGCTCCCATTGCCGTGTAGACAGTTCCGCTCGAGTTGCCTCCGTAAACGTTCTCCGCCGGCGGAGGGTTCCTCATGAGTTCCGCTCGGTACGCGTGTGAGCGCTGGATGGCCACGTACGTGACGAAGAGCTGCACGCCGAAAGAGAGCGTACCGAAGATGATGACGCCCCAGGCCCAAGAGTCAAAGTTCTTCCACTCACTCACGAGGATGAACAGGACAACGGCCGAGATGGCCTGCAGCAGTAGCATGAAGCAGTTGCCGAAGTAGTACTGCAATTGTAGCACGATTTTCGTCAGTATTATGCCTAGAAACCCTCAAAAACGCAGCAAAGTGACACGTACGAACTGGATGAAGCTCACTTTGCTCTGGATGACAGGCTGGACAGAGCCATAGTAGCCCATGGCAGCCACGATGACGCCGAAGAGGCCCGACCACCACACGGTATACGTGAAGAAGAACGACACGAGCGTCACACCGAGTTGAAGGAGCGCAATGGCGTTGCACGGATCGCGGTTCTCATACAGGAAGCCGAACTGGTCGTTACGCTCTAGATCTGCCATTTCTGCTGCGTTGGAGGAGGCACAAGCTGCGTGAGCGTAGACAGGTGATACTAGCTCGACGAGGTGGGCAGTGTTCCAACAGGTCGCTCTCGAGCCACGTAGAAGAAGGAATGACTCGCTTCTACCGATTGGATCCTTTAAGGCGGCGTTTCGAGGAAGATACCGTTTGTGTGTGAAGCTCGTAGAAATAGATATTAGCTTTCACGGGATTCTATTTTTCCTCATAAAAACCTTTTTATTTTATTTTACTTGCTCGACTTGTCCTCCATGATCTATGTACAAGTGAAACAAATGTGTTAGTACGTCCGCAAGAGTCTATCTACAGTATGTAGTCCTCATTGATTAATACAACCGTACCTTGTTGATCTTCTCAAGGTCGTTCGCAAGTTTGTTGCTTTGTTTCTGCTTTTTCCGACGAGTTTTTTCATCCGAGTCCACAATATCTTTACGGCCACTTAGACCAGCAGCCTTGCGACGTCTCGCAGTCTCCTCATCGTCCTCGTCATCGCTGTCTCCTCCGAGAGCGCCAACACCCTGATACTCTGCATAGTCGTCCGCTCCCCCAGTCATCTTGGCCGCTTTCTCTCTCCGTTCCTTCTCTCGTTCCATCTTCTTCTGGGTCTCCACCGCCTTCTGCAGTGTCTCCTTCCACTCTCGCTCTGCGTCTTCTTCTTTCTTCCGAGCTGCTTCTTCCTTTTCAGTGATAGCAGCACTCAGATTCGAGAAGTAACCAGCTTTCTTAACAGCCTCCTTCGTGGACCCATCAGCAGATTCATCGTCCGTACGTTGGTCCATCGGAACGTAGTCACCCACATCAGGGAAAATATCTTCGTCCTCATCAACTGCAGCTTCAACTTCTGTCTCAGGCATCTCTACATCATTCTGCTCTTCTTCAACACCATCTATCTCTTGTTTGTCACTATGATGAATAGGACGGTCTGTTTTCTTCTTTTTGCGCATTTTCTTGCCGTTTTTCTTGCTGCTCATCAGCTCTGCCACGCGGTCAATAAGCGACTCATTTACTGTCCCACTCACCACTTCATCAGGCTCAGGACAATCCTCTTTACTGCGTTGTACACTCACAGGGACACTCTCAAGCTCAGTAGGTGATAGATTGAATGTATAGTACATTCGACTGGGCAAGAACAGCTCCGACTTGACCGACGTCGTGCTCTCCGGCGTGCTCTGACACGCGTGGAAGTACACTAGTCTTCCCATTCGCGTTTTGAACGCCATCTTGCCGTCGCTCGGTCTCACTGTCTCTAGATTGCTAGCAGTACTTTCATTCCTCACTTGTTTCTGTTTCTCGGCCAGCAGCTTCTGCTTCTCACGCTTCAACTGAGAGAGTAGCGCGAAGTCCAGTCCTTTGACTAGATGCGTGTGTTCCGTATCTCCACCGAGAAACTTACTCTGCTGCGTGTCTAAATGTTTGAACTCTTCAGTATCGATCATGTCTCCTGTTTCACCTCTACGTCGCTCGGCCGCTCGGTCTCGGTACTGACTTTTGGGCGGCCGAGGACCGGCTGCGTCTGCGGGCGTTGCATTCGTTGGTTTCTTGCTTTTCTTCTTCGCTTTCTTCGTAGACAGCTTCTTAATTTCAAAGAGATCCGCCTCGGATAGGTTGCGTTTGCCTCCGTAGCTGCGTTTGGTCTCGCTAGCGTCGCCGCTTGCGAGCATCTGTCGGAAGTCATCTTGGTTCATTGTGTCTTCAATGGATACCCGATAATTAATTCAGACAAATTTTGATCAAATCTGACAGAATATTTGAAAAATCGCTCTATTGGCAGAAAACACTGTAAAGTTTTAACCAATAGTACTACTTGAATTCATCCATTGGTTGAGAGCGTCTGGGCCAGACCCTTAAAACTGGGTGGTGGCTGAGTCTGAAAGACCTTACAAATACCAAGTGTTTCGCCACATTCACCCCGTTTTATGCTACAAATTAGCAATCCGGCGCCGACAGCCTTGGAAACGTTGTCTGCGCTCCAGCCAGCATCATTTTTGCCTGGTCTACTAACTCCAGTTTTCTACTGCAAGGTGCGTTCCTCTGTCGATTGGTCTCTATAGCGCTCTGCCTCTCTAAATACAGGACAGATCGGGCTTGAAATCTATGCTAACTGCAAGAGCAGCCCTATATCCGCTGGGAGGAGCGTCGTTTTGCGAAACCTAGAAACTGATCGTATCCTGTTATTTCCAAATACAGAAATATGGCTGACGCAATCACTCTCGCGCGTGAGCGCCTCGCGGCCAAGTTCGGTGACGTCCGCACGGGCGGTAAGGGTACGGTGCGCCGAAAGCGCAAAGCTGCCCACAAGACGGCCACTGCCGACGACAAGAAGCTGGGCGCGACTCTGAAGAAGCTTGGCGTGACCCCCATCCCCGGTGTGGAGGAGGTGAACCTCTTCAAGGCTGACGGCCAGGTCATCCACTTCCAGGCCCCCAAGGTACAGGCCTCGATCGCCTCCAACACTTACGCCGTGTCGGGCTTTAACCAGACCAAGTCGCTGCAGGAGCTGCTGCCTGGCATTATCAACCAGCTGGGCCCGGACAACCTCGCCAACCTCAAGCAGATCGCCGAGTCGTACACGGCTGCCCAGAAGGCCGCCAAGGCTGCTTCGACCGCCGCTGCTGACGACGATGACGACGAGGTCCCCGACCTTGTGGACAACTTCGAGGATGTTAGCCAGCAGGATTAAGGAGATAAACGCGCGAGGAAGACGGCGACTTGCAGCTGAAGCGGAGGAGGGGACAGAGTCGTTGCCATGTCGACACTTTGTGCTTAAGACTGCGTTTCCGTCGACGCCGCCTTGGATGTCCTATAGGTTTCGCATCAAGGAGCGTTAATTTCTTAAGAGAATTCCAGTACAACTAGTACGCCAGGCATAACATCGGAGCAGTGGGAAAACTGCGCGTGTGTTTGTGTTCATTGCATCTGTAGCTTCGCAAGTATATTCACAGGTTCAAAGAAGCTAGCGATATATGGCGAACTTTAGCTCCATTCTGCAGTTGCGACTGTTATCGACTCTTTTGTGATCCTTGCACCGTGATCGTCGCAGTGCAGAACCTGTTGCTATCGTCGCCGCCTTTAACTAAGCGCCTAAGTTACTGCTTGAGGGTCACGATGGCCTTCTTCCAGTCCTTCTCCTTGTACACGTAGCGACCACGGAATGCGCGCTTAAACTTGCCTGATTTTGGGAAATGAAGATTGTTAGCACAACAATAATAACGTTTACCATTGCTATTATAATAGACGCACCTTCGTAGTTCATGGTGTTGACCTTGGCCACGGGCAGGTCGTAAACTTTGGTCAAATACTCCTTGATCTCGTGCTTGGTGTAGTGCGGCTCCACGCGGAAGACGTACTGGTTGTCACGAAGCCGTGTGCGCGCGTTCTTACCCATGAAGGTCACCGCCATGTTGGGGAACTTGATACGATTCCACACCATCTTGCCTTACGCAGCCTGGAAGTCTCAAGTCTGCCGAGTCTAATGAGCATGTGGCTCACAGTCGCTTCTTTTCAGCCAATAAGCGAGATTGAAGGTCCTTTTCAGCAAATGAACTTCAATTTATATTTAGACCAATCGAAAGATTGTTTTTCAATTGCCACTTTTGGACAATCCAACATGGCGCGAGCTGGCAAGTGCTTCGAGTGCGTCCTGCAGGGGGAAGTTGTGCGTTGAAATGCTCAAACACTATACGATATGGCTTAAATTGCTGCTTACGACGTGGTGACTAATTATTGTGGTCATTGTCCTCGCTTTATGGACGATAACGAGCTTAGAACGTCAAGCACTTCCCTTCATTCGTCGAGCGTTTAAGTGGGCTCTGCGACGAGAGCGTGGTCAAGGTAAGCTATCACCAGCTATGATATTAGATCACATACATATCAAGACTACGCTCAAGCGCTAAGCATTTGTTGGGACGTCGTAGGAGGACATTGCATACAAGGAGTACGTTTACAACTTCGACGACAAATGTCCGCAGTACATCCACGGCGTCCCACACTACGAGGTCCGCGCACGTCATGTATTCTCTGGCTCTACAACATTCCAGGGCGAAGCTGTCGAGATGCCGTCCGACGGAGGGCAGAAGTGGTAAGCTGAAGCGAAGCCTCTATAGTGTTGCAAAATTGCACTTCGAGTCTTACGTTACTTCACCAGGGAATTGCGATACATCGGGAGATGGGAGCGCAAGAAGATGTCGGAGCACGTTGGCAGCGCTCCGCTGGGTGTTCCGTTCCGCAGCCAGATCGCTGTGTCTGTCGGTCAGAACGTGCGCTCGTTCCTCCGCACGCTTGGGTTTCGGTACGAAGCCTCTGTTCCTCACGTCTAGACAAGAAATGTTTGCTAATATGTCATCATCTGCAGCCACAGCTACAGATACATGCGTCTAGGAACGCGATGGCAGTTCCCGAACGGCATAACAATTGAAGCTACACGCATGAAGGCGGTATGTCGCCACTTATTAGATTATACAGGTCTCTATAATTTACTTAAAAGTTTTTCTTTTTCTATATAGTTGAAAAAAGAAGATGAGAAAGACGAATACCGTCTCGTGGACCTGGAGAACCTCCGCGTTGAAGCTTTACTTGTCGAGATCTTCGCACTCACGACGGACGAGAAGATCGACGAGGCCTCTCAGAAGATCCGCCGCTTTGCAGTCGACCTGGACCCGTACTTTATTGAACGTCCATCTGAAGGCAAGGAGATCTTACACAGTACAGCCACACTGGCAGCTGAGCGTCGCAAGCGCCCGCGTCAGTAAACAACAGTTGCAACGTACGCTGTCGTCGACTAGTCCATCTGAATTGCATTATTTGGATAATGCTAAAGAAAAATGCTAAAAAAAATTAAAAAAAAAGAGGTTGTATCTTGAGCAGTACTAGTAGCCTTTCTAATTGCAGTCACACGCGAAGCCTTGTTGCTTGACAGCTCGGTACTGCGGTGGAGTCTGGGACAACCGGATGATCTCTGGTGGGGCTTCTTCTTCAGGCTTCTCCTCTTCGTTCTTGTCTTTGTCCTCCCCATTGCGATAGTCGTTAACCATTCGGTTGATTAGACACTGGAAGGCATCACCAATACGCTCGCCACTCTTGGCTGAGGCACGGAACCACTCGACAATGTTGTTCTTATCGACGCATTTCTGCATGTTGACGCCCAGATCCAGCGCTCCCATGGGGTCCAGCAACAAGTCGCTCTTATTAGCAACCATCACGACTGGGATCTCTGCGCCTTCGTTCAAGTCTTTGCAGCACGTGTCGATCTCGTTCTTCCAGTTGACGACAGCGTCGATCGTGTTCGCTCGTGTGATATCACAGACGATCACAGCTCCTCTTGCTTCTCGAAAGTAGCCGCGTGTAAACTTAGCGAAGCGATCTTGACCTGCAATGTCCCATAGTTGCAAACTGATGGTCAATTGCTCGTCATACGCGATGATCTTCTCCACAAAGTCCGCCCCGATGGTGCTTACATACTCCTCATTGAAGTCGTCTTGAGTGAATCTTCGTATGGTGCTGGTCTTCCCGCAGCGAGCGTTGCCTACAATGAGTACTTTCATGATGATCGTTTCGGGTTCATCACTTGACGACGACTCGTCACTCTCGTCTTCCGACCCACTGCTCGAGTACTGAGCTAGCATCTCCTCGATCTCCTCTTTAGTAGGACCTGGGGCGTTCTCGAGCTCTTCAAGTTGCTGCTGCACCTGCTCGAGACTCAGAGACGCTGTCACTGAACGTGAGAGGCTGTTGCGACCAATCATTGGACAAGCGGAACTCGCTGGAGCACTCTGGACGCTGTGAGTGTCACTTGTCTCTTCAAGATCGGTGTGAGTTGGAGATTCGTTGCCGATGCTGATGCTGCTGCTGCTGCGGTGCTGTTGGATAATTCTCGCCGAATGTTTGGAGAACATGGCAGCCACGTCGTAATCGCTCATGACTGTGCGAAAAATTCACGTTTGTTCTTGACGTAGCGAGAGAGTTCACTGCGACAACTGGGGACAGGTCCGTCTGGTTTGGGTCCCGTTAGAATAAGCTCTTCAACTTCAGTTGCTGCTGTCTTAAATTTCTATCAAGCATTGCTTACCGCGTTTTCATTGGTGGAAAAGCCAGTTCTTAAAGCGATTTGCATAATTAGCATGGCGGCTGTGGCGGCGAAGGAGGCGCTGTTGGCACTTCAGCTCAGTTGTCGGGGCGATGCTGCGCGCGAGAGTATTCTTCGTGACTGGGTAAAGTTTGTCGAATACCGCAAGGAGGTTTCTCTGCTGCAGTCTCTCCCTAAAATGCCGACGGGCGCTGCTATCGACTGGCTCAAACTGTACGAAGAGGTCGTATCTCGCGGAGGCTTCACTGTCGTCTCTCAGCGTCAGCAATGGGCCGAAATTCTAGGTCCTAACGGACTCAACATCAAAGGACTCATGCCTTATCAATTGGCAGCCCATTACGACCACTACCTGCGAGCATTCGAAGAGAAACAGCTCTTCGGACGAGACCTCCCTCCCTCCGAAGCCACTATGAATGTACTGCCCAACAAGCGCCGCGCTCAAGTGGAAACAGACGACGACACAGCCCCCGTTGCCACTATAAAAGATCTTCAAGATGCACAGGGTGGCATGGGTGGAACTCCATTGCCACGAGCGAATAAGAGGTTCAAAGCTCAACGAGAACTCCAGACGCACCTCGGAACGCTGCATAACATCGTGTTGGCGTTGGACTCGGATTTACCCGAGCAAGTGCTGTCAGCTCTCAATCTACTGACTGTATTATCTTACGGAGACCGCACAGATGACTCTGGACAGCACCAGAACGCAGCGACATCGAATGCCAACGCAACAGCGAACGAGAACGAGCTATTGGTGGATAATGTGCCGGGACTATTGGACGCTTTGTATCGACAATTAGTGTCATGCAAATTGTTGCCGGATGAGCAAGAAATGGTGCAACAACAATCTATTCGACGAAAACTACTGAATTTGACAGTCGATGACGGCGAGCGTGAACTGTTGGACTCTCGAGCTCTGCTAGTTTTGAACATCATACGCAATCTGGCAATCATCGGCGCAAATGAAAAGCCAATCGCTGCTCACGACGAGTTGTGTGTGTTCTTTATCATGGCTCTACGCTACGTGAACAGTACCGACGCACGTAACTGTCGCGGTGGACGCTCCCGCGCTGCTGTGGACATCGGGGACCATGTGTTGGATACATTGTGTGCTGTCTCGAAGCGTATCGACTTCCTCGCGCTACATCCTCCTGCCTCTCTTGAAGTGTGGCATCCACAGCACCAATTAAACGCCCAATTGTGGAAAAAAGATCGCGTGTTGCCACTCGAGTGTCTACTTCGCGAACTGCGTCGCATCCTGGTGGACCGAGAGCTCCAGCAACAACGTCGTTCTATCGTCCTTCGCGCTTGTGAACTGCTCACGAAGATATGTCGCGATGTAGCCATTAAGAGGTTCTTGTCGGCCAGTCAAGCACTACAAGACCCAGCGTTACTTGACCGTGTGGTCGCATTGCTAGGCTGTTCTCGACAAGAGTTCCTCCCTCGTGGATCAAAGCACAAGACGCAACGATCCCACGGATTCCCCACTGAAGCTGACTATGACTTGGACGCAGAGTCTGATTCTGACGAAGATATGACTGATGGAGACGACAACAGTCGCTGGCCTGCACCCTGGGAGAACGACGGGCTGCCGTCAGGTGTCGGGATGGGCGTCGTGTACGTCAGTCCGGAGGGTGTGCGCCACACGACGTCGTCGCCTCATGTCGGTGGGGCGCATGCAGCGCACTCTGTGGCTTTTGACCAAGGAAACCAACTGGATCATGAGATGCGAGACGCAGCGTTGGAAGTTCTCTTCCGTCTCTCCGACTATGACGACGAGACGAAGCTGCGAATGGCGCGACATCCGACGTGCATGCGGCGCTTGGCAGGCTCGCTTCTTTCTTGTGTCGGAAGGGTAAGATTCTGACAAACATTTGCGGCAGGAGTGGTTGCTGGTTTCTGATATTTTTGTTTTTTCTGTTGCCCTTTCAGCCGGAAGCAGCGCGGATTATTGTTGCCACCCTGTGCAACATTTCGATGAACCGTGCCACATTTCCGTATTTTTTGCCAATTGAGAAGGATCTGATTCTCGTGGCGTGCTCCGATGTCAGTGTGTCTGACATCCTCAACAACGTCGTCGCTGACGTCTACGGCATGCATTCTCTGTAAATCTGCAATAAAACACAAGTTCTTTTATTGGCAAGGACCCGATTGATTCTGTTTCTTATCAAAAAGAACCCTGTTTTCTATGTCGCTCGTGTGTGTTTAGAAGCCCAGACCCACAAGCCACTTGCGGATGTCGCTGGCGTGGTCGCCTACGACCTCCAAGCGGCCCGGGCGCACGATCACCTCCTTGCCCTGGCACACCTTGGACATCTCGTCACGCAGCCCCTGCTCGTCGCCCTTGTAGCGACGGAGGATGGTCAGCACGCGCGTGCGGCCGTTTCTAAAGTCCCTGTACACTGGAAGCTGCATACCCGTGGCCGTACGCTTTACGTGGAACGGAAGGCCGGAAAGCGGCGCCTCCGGAGCTGGGGACCAGCCGTTGAAGCTCACTTTCTCCGGAACATACGTCGGTTCGTACTTCAGCGGCGGCACCACCACCTCCTCTTGAGGCTGACGCTGCAGTGCACGGAGGTTGGCTGGGTGACGCGTCTTGCGACGGATCTGGCGGTTGCTTGCCACACGCTCGACGGCGTTGACGCTAGCGATCACTCGACGCTGGAACATGCTTGATGACCGGACCTGTTGGCAATGATAGCCGCCCAATTATTAAGCCTCGTGATTGGATAAAACCCCGCTACTACTTTATTGGTGGAGATTCAACTATCTTCCTAGTTATTGTGCTTCGCAGATATTTACCTCTTTTAGAGTGCTATAACATACTTTTATTAGAGCTAAAAGTATGTTGAGCACGAAAGGGTTAATAAAACCGAATTTTCATTAATTATTTTTTTTAGACAAAAACAAAATGCCGTATAATCCTTACGCACTAATCAACATGCTGTATTCTTGTTGATATGCACCGACTCTGCACGGTTCGGCTAACCGGCGTGACGTTCCAAAATGGACCGGTCCCAAACCGGTTAATCTGGTGAATGGCCAGGAGCACTGAAGTTTAGAGGACAGATTTAATTGACTTTAATCTACTCACTCTCGGCATTTGCCTCTAACAGCAGCAACAGGTTAACAGCCGCAAACGCCTCAACTCTACCGGAACGTTTCAAGACATGACGACGATCAAGCGCGCCGAAGTCCTCCTCGGGAGTGGGAACTACTTCCACTGGGAGTACAATATGCGCATGACGCTAGCCAGGAAGGGCCTGCTTGCGCATATTCAAGCCGTCAAGCCGGAGAACGAGATCACCAAGGCGTGGCTCGTCAATGATGCCAAGGCGCTCGACATCATCGCTCAGGGAGTGGAACTTCAGCATCAGACTAAGATTCGGTCGGCCACTCGCTCCATAGAAGCTTGGGGAACGCTGCGAGAGTTCTATAACCGCACCACGTTCACAACCGCGTGACAATGACGCGTCGCCTCCACGAGTTCAAGATGGAGAGTGGATCGACTATGACCAAGCATCTGGATGCGTTTGATGAGCTGATCGTCGGGTTGCAGACGCTGGGAGAGCCCATGGACGAGGCACGCCAGCTGGTGGTGCTGCTGAGCAGCCTCCCCGATGAGTACGAGCTCATTTTGTCTATCGTGGAGAACACCAAGGATGTGACGCTCATTGAGGCCAAGGAAAAGCTGTTGAAAGATTACGAGCGACTCAAGAAGAAGGAAACCACGGAGAAGGCGTTCCAAGTGAATGGGAACGCAGGCAAGTTCCGGAACGGCCGAGGGAACGGTCCAAAATGGAATAATCGACAATGGAACGGTCCGAAACGGAACGTTGGCTTCAAGGGCAAGTGTTTCAGCTGTGACCAAGTGGAGCACATGAAGCGGGACTGTCCTGCTGCGAAGAAGAGCGGTCAAGACGATGCAGTGTTTGCAGTTGGTGGGGAACGCTCGGCCGGGTGGCTGATTGATAGTGGTGCGACGTCGCACATGACCCCTCACCGGAGCGACCTATTTGGGTACGAGGCACTAGACAGTGGCATCAACGTGACGATTGCAGATGGTAAGAAGCTGCGCGTCGCACTGGTTTGGACGGTAAACGCATCCGAATGGTGGACGTGCTCCACATTCCGGGGCTCGATAGACGGTTATTGTCGGTCGGGAAGCTCGCGGAACGAGGCATGAGCGTGGAGTTCCAGCGTTCCAGTTGTGTAATTTGGGGGCGGAACGCTGCGATAGCGTCAGGGAAGAAGGTCGATAAGGCGTTCCTGCTGGACTGTCAGCAGGAGGAGGCACACTTCGTGCAATACACCGGTCCTGACAGCGAGTGGGAACTTTGGCACGCTCGCATGGGTCACCCCAACAAGGACGCGCTGACAAAGACTCAACGTTCCACAATTGGTATCCCACATGTGAAAAATGGGAATGAGACTTTGTGCGGTGGATGTATGAAGGGAAAGCAGACCGTGACGACGTTCCCGTCACGATCGCTAACGAGAACGACGCGTGTGCTGGAACTAGTACACACGGACGTAATGGGCCCAATGAGAACGATCTCAAAGGGTGGTGCCAAATATGTTCTGACGTTCGTAGACGACTACTCAAGGTTTGTCGATTGCGTACTTTATGAAGAGCAAGAGCGAGGTGGGCAACAAACTGAAGGAGTTCAAGGCATTGTACGAAACCCAGTGGGGGGAACGTCTAAAATGTCTTCGTTCCGATAATGGAATGGAGTTCGTGAACAAGACAGTTTTGGAACTATGCAAAGGGAACGGTATCGTGCATCAGCGTAGCGTTCCATACAGCTTTCAGCAGAATGGAGTGGCGGAGCGCATGAACCGTACCATCATGGAGAAGGCAAGAAGCATGCTGCACTACAAGTCTATGTCGACGCAGTGGTGGGCGGAAGCGGTTAGTACTGCAGTGTATCTCATCAACCGTTCCACGAACACATCAAACTCTGATGTCACGCCGTACGAGCTGTCGTTCCAGGTGAAGCCACGGATGGAACGCCTACGTGTTTTTGGATCACAAGGGTACGCTCATGTGGACGACGTGATGAGAACGAAGCTGGAACCCAAGAGCTTCAAGTGCACGTTCCTCGGGTACGCTGAGAACGTGAAAGGATATCGTGTGTACGACATGGATGCGTCGAAGGTCAAGGTGACACGGTCGGTCAAGCTGGACGAGCGTGAGGTGGGCGGAATCTATGACACGCAGGCGCCAGCTTCAGGAACGGTCATCCATGTGACGAGGAACGATGATACGATCGCTCCAATATCTAAAGGGAAACGTCAGCCTGCTCAGGATGAACCGATGGAAGAAGCAGAGGAGCCTGCTCAAGACATTGAGATGGACGACCTTGAACCGGAACGGAACGCAGAAATACAGCAGCTACCCGCGCCGGAGGAACCCAGGTTAAATGGTTGGATTTGGCAACGTTCCATTCGCAGCCTCCATCGTTCCATGAGGACCGGATGATCTTCCATCCTGAAACGGAACGATCTACGCGCCCTCGTGAGCCGTTACTTCTACTTGGGAACGGTGACGATGAAGATGTGGAACGTGGAAGTGATGGACCGCCATCTCCTAAGCGTGCCAGAATCGACGAAGATGGTTTGCTCGCAGAGGCAGTGTTGGCGTACGCGGCCAGCATCGGTGGCGTTCCAGATACGCCTAACACGTACGCAGAAGCTATTGCCAGTAACGAAGCAGGAGAGTGGCGTCCTGCTATGCAGTCAGAGCTGAATTCGCATTCCCAGAACGAAACATGGACGCTCGTTCCACGTGGAACGACAATTCGTTCCATTGGATGTCGCTGGGTGCTCGCGAAGAAGCGTGACGAGAACGGCCGGGTTATCCGCTACAAGGCACGCCTAGTGGCGCAGGTGTTCAAGCAGAAGTTTGGCATAGACTTCTTGAGACGTACTCTCCAGTTGCGAATATGAACTCGATTCGAGTTGTACTCGCTGTTTGCGTTACGTGCGGCTACATTATGGAGCAGCTGGATGCCGACACAGCGTTTCTAAACAGTGGTTTAAAGGATTTGGTTTACATGGACGTTCCATTTGGTCTCGAGAATGCTGAAGGCATGAAGTGCAAGCTGCTAAAGGCCATCTACGGCTTGAAGCAAGCTGCAAGTGCATGGAACAAGACTATTCATCGCGTGTTCCTGCAGAATGGTTTCAAATATTGCGGAGCCGACCAATGTGTCTACGTCAAGCGTTCCAAAAACGCATTCGTGTACGTATGTCTATATGTGAACGACATGATCATTGCGGCCAAGACGCGCGACGAAATTCGCGAGGTCAAGAACGCCCTGAAGAGCGCATTCAAGATGAAGGAGCTTGGCGAAGCCAAATTCATTTTGGGAATGGACGATAGAGAATGTGGAACGTTGATGATCAAGCAAACTCGGTACATTGACGACATTGTGGAACGATTCAATCAACGGAGCGCCAAGATGGTGGAGAACCCTTGGGCAGCAAATGTGGTGTAGTAGAACACACACATATCGTCAGATGTGGATTCCTTACACAAACCACAACGAATCGCCGAGTTAGGTCGGCGGTTGTACGGCCTGCGCAGAGGGTGGTCCCCTCGCGGTCCGGCCCTTCCGGGACAGACTAGTGGCTCGCTTCCACTCGGTTCCGACCAACCAAGTCAGATCACTTTTGAGGCTCCGCCGAGTTTGGTTCGGCTGAGCTCGTTCACAACCCTGTGCCCTCCACCGAAGGATGGACGACGGCGCGCGAGCGCTTTTACAGGTCACCGAGCGCAGAGGCTGCTCAGCTAGAAGTGTTACGGCACCCGGGCTATCCGACGTACCGGCCCGCTGAGTATGCGGGACTTTCTTTCGCGCGTAGCGAGACTTTGTCCTACCCGGACCGACCTAATCTCTTGGCGCTACCAGTCAATACCCTACAAGCTATGCTCTCGAGTATTGACGGCAGGCATAATCCAGCCCTATGCAGGGACTTACCGGAAAAGTGTACACGTGTCTTGGACTAGGAACATTCTGCTCTGTTATCTTCTGGGAGCCTTTTCGGCTCCCCCTTTTTAATCCTATGCTTCCTTTACAAATATCTAGTGAAATGTAGTCGTTTCGGATCTCTACCGACCCTTCAGCTGAGTTCGGGCGACCGTTGAGCTCAGCGGCTATCCGAATAGCATATCCGGACAGATCGCCGAGTACTTACCGTGATCCTTTGCTCCTAAGCTATGGGTTATCAGACCGAGCCGATTCTTGACCTAAAGTAGGTCGGCGTATGGTCGAATCTGGAAATCCCTACACCACAACTGCCCCGGTTATACGAGCCGAGCTGGTGAGCGTCTTAATCCTTCATTTGGTTCTGCCACCGTTGGTCCATACTCGGCTGATGACGTCTCGCGGCTCTCCACCACCTTCTTCGGTACGTTTGTTGCTTCCGCTGTCACTCCCTTGGCAGCTCCTTACTCCTCGCTTGTTACTCCAGCACAACTCGCGGCACCATCATCCTTCTCCAACTCCTCGTCGAGGTGAAGGCGTGCCAGCTGAGTCGATTCCCCGATCCGTCGGTACTCGTGGGGTCAGCGACCGGCTTGAAGCTAGGTTGGTCGACCTGACAACTTCCCATGAGTTTGACGCGGAGTCGGCGGGGTCTTCTCGCGCGCGCCTTCCTGGTCCACC